TCAAATTCAAACCCTTAAAGCAGAGGCCAACGCCGTGGCCGACCAATCAATCGCCCTGCTGCGGTTGGTTCGAGCCTTTGCCACTGAAGACTGGGAGAAAGGACGCTACGACACACGGACCTTGCGCAATGTCGCCAAAGAATTGGAGGTGAAGATGCTTTGGACACTCTATGTCCCGCTTGTCTTCCTCCTCCAGAATGGACTGGTCCTCGTGGTTCTTCTCTTGGGGGGCTACCTGGTTTCGGACGGCGGTTTGTCCGCCCGGTCCTTGACCGCCTTCTACTTCTACAGCACGACAATTACGGAGGCGATGCAGTCACTGGCAGACAACGTCTTGAGCATCCTCACAGGCCTCGGGGCCGGTGAGAAGATCATGGATATCATCGCCCACAAGCCCACCATCCCGGTCAAAGGAGGCACGGTGCCGTCTTTTGCGGCACGCGTAGCCCCTTTCTCCCCACCAATTGTCTCCTCCAGCATGTCCGTGCCCAAGGCCTTGCCTGCACCGAGATCGTTCGACCTGGTCTTCGATGACGTCTCCCTCACGTATTCCTCCGAAACGGATTCCCATCAGTCCCTTCATCGGGCGCCTGTCCTCTCCCACCTGAACCTGCGGATCCCCGAGGGACAACGCGTTGCGATCGTGGGCCTTTCGGGGTCGGGGAAATCGTCGCTCATCTCCTTGCTTTTGCGCTTTTACAAGCCGACCACCGGACGTATCTTGTTCGGAGGCCACGACGTCCAGAGCCTGGACCCGCGTTGGCTCAAGGCGCAGCTTGGCGTGGCTCTCCAAGATCCCATGCTTTTCGGCGGCATTTCAATCCGGGAGAACATCACGTATGGTCTGGAAGGTATTCAGGAGGAGGCAGTTAAGCAGGCAGCGCAAATGGCGGCAATTCACGATTTTATTCTCACCTTGCCCCATGCCTACGACACGGTGGTGGGTGAGAGGGGGGTAACTTTGTCAGGGGGAGAACGTCAGAGAGTCGGCATTGCCCGGGCCCTGCTGCGTCGACCAAAAATTATTATCATGGACGAGTGTACGAGTAGCTTGGATTCGCTTTCGGAGAGCAAATGTCAAGAAGCATTGATGGCTTTGCACCGTACGCAGCCGTCTATTACCCTACTGACCATCGCCCACCGCTTAAGCACCGTAGTAGACGCGGACCGCATCCTTGTGATGGCCAAAGGCAAAATTGTAGAGGAGGGAACCCACAAGGAGCTTCTGCTCAGGGAGGGCATGTACAAGGAGCTGGTGGTGCATCAGCTGCAGGAGGAGGTTATTCACAAGAAATTGTCCGTGTAAGACGGAATATGTCATAGGGTGCACTCCCACGGGCGTCGGCGGATGCCAGGGAATGGACGATGTGCTGTTGCTTCAAACTGCTTGAGGAATAGTGAAAGCCGACAGGTCTCGCGAGACCCTGTAGCCGTCTCGTCGACCGACTCAATACCAGGGAGGCGCAATTGTAAATTAGTTAGAAGGAAAGGGACACGCTGTGACGTGTGCTGTGTTTGCGTGGTCGACCTATTACTCGTTTGTTTTCTCGTGTTAACCAGCCTCCATCTGTCTGGTTATCTTTCGCAAGTTTTCCTCTTTTCTTCCCTCCATCCTTCGACAATTTTCTACACGAGCCTCTCGCGCTGTATTTTGTACTGTTGCCGATTTCTTGTCTAATCATCTCCCTTATTTCCTTCTCGCGTACTTTGTTCGAGCTCAGGGGGTACTTCTTTTTTTCGCTCCTCTCGAGCCCTCCCATCATCTCCCGCATCCTATTTTTACAGAGGCATTGTGATGCCATGCGGACTTTGCCTGCTTTCCGCCCATGGTGCTCGCTTTGTGTTTCTGCTCATCTCAGTCAACTTCTTCCTCTCATTTCTTCAGACCAGTGGTTCATTCGCAGGTTCCTCGTCTATCAAATTTCGATCTCCGTCTCTAATATCAAAGCAAAGCAATATTCAAACAAATAAAAAACGTTTCTCGGCCGTGCCTTCCACCTGAGCCAAATACATGTACGAGAGAGCGTCATATTTCCGTCCTGAAGTCGGGCGGACAATTTTGATATACTCAAACACGGGGGAAAGATTGGCCATCGCACTCTTTTCCTGCTCTGGCATGGTGTCATACCGTACACGAACAAGTGCGAGGGTGAGGCCAGAGCCCGCACACGAGAAGAAAAGACGGTTGTCAGGCACACTCACATCAACCATCAGTCACATCATTCCTGTTCTCTTTACGAGCATGCCATCTATCTCCACAGATTTCTGGAGGAGGATGAAGGGGCTGACGGGCGGAGGGCATTGGTCTGCTTACATTGTTTATCGGTACCGGTTGGATGGGTGGCCATGTCCGCGGCGCCCTGCATACCCTCACGTTTCGTACTGCTGGGGTCGGGATGGGCCGGAGAGGTCGAGACCCCTTTCATCTGCCAGGCGGCACTGGGGCGTCCGGGCCTTGGGGAGGAAGGCCGGTGGGAATGGAGTGACGCCCTATGGAAGGACAACAAAGTATCCATTGCCGCCGCAGCTGCAGGGACGGGAAAGTGATTACCAAAGGCAGTGTTCTGCGTGTCGATTCCACCCCTTAGTGCCGGTGATGGACCAGGGTGGGCACCGTTGGCTTGTTGCATATGGAATAGCGCCTGATGCTGGTGCTGCTCCTGGGAGCACTGCAGTCCTTCCTGTTGTCTTTGGTGCGGCAGCTCGACTCTGGAGTCCGAGCAGATTCCCTCGGTCGGATCGGCTCCCGAATCACCGGCTCCAGCGTTTCGGTTCAGAGGTGCGAGGCGAGTGGCGCCCGCCGGAGGATGGTACAAGGCCGGCGAGGAGGAAGAGGAAGACAGCATGGATTTAACGGGGTTGTCGGGACGCTCATCGCGGCGAAGGCTGGAAGGACAGGGTGCACCTTGCTTACAGTAATAAGAGTGGGGTTGTGGCTGCAGAAGGTTCTGCGGCTGCATCATTTGCGGTTGGTATTGCATGTGGTGGCCCTGGAAACGCATGGCGTGGTGGTTGCTCTCAGGAACATCGCACCCGGAATGTCGCCGTTTGCTCGCCCCCAGCGTCGGCCGTCCCGCCTGCCCTCTCCTACCCATGCTTATTAATCCGACCTGACTATACGGTGCGGGATTGCCGGCGTAGTGTCCGGCTTCCGGAGGGGTGGGGTTCAAGTTCGCAGCCAGGGAAGATACCGAGCCATTGCCATGTCTTACGCCCTCGTAGGGGGAGCACAGGCTGGGTTTGAGACCCCCCGGGGCAGCCATTCCGAGAGCTGCTGCCGCCGCCTGAGCGCTGGCCCCAACGGTTTGGTTCCCATTGGCACCGCCGTCGTACTGCGACGGGTTTGAATGCGTCGCGTGCTCCACGTCCATGGCATCTCCCCTTTCGCCCTCCGCTGCCTTACAGGGCCGTGAAGCCCCTCCCTCCGAGTTGCCCCCCTCCGGGACAGCCATAGGTGCCTTGCCAGCCATCATAATGGTTGACACGTCATGATTATGGCCGACGGCCCCCCACAAGCTCCGGCTGCTACCGGCAGCGCCCGTGCCTACCGTGCATGCCGCAGTTTGTGCCTCCAAATTCTGGTGTCCAGGCTGGTTCTCGATCCCTTCCCCACCCACCCTCCCTCTGGCCAACCTCCTCCCCATGGCTTCCTCCTCCCCCTCTTCGTCGACGGCAAGGGCGTCCTGCGGACCCTGTCGATTGCACCCGCTACTCCTCCTCCTTCGTTCCCGAGAACGGCTGGTACTGACCGTACTGCGGCCGCTGCTGCTGCTGCTGCTGCTGCTACTGCTGCTGCTGCTACAGGTTTCTGCCGACCATCCCCGTTGCCGCAACAGGAATTGCTGCTGATCATAAATGCCTGGCTGCTGATGCGGCTGGGCACTGATTTGACGACCGTAAATGCTGGGCAAGGGGTGTGTCTGCGTGAACACAGGAGGATGCGGATGTGGCGGGCGGCCATGGCCGTCGAGGATGGGCATCATGCCCGCCACCGACGCCGAATGGGGCATGGGGACGGCAGCGGGAAGGCTTTGTCGACGAGGCCCCTGGATGGGATGTGGAGGCTTGGAAGGATGGAGGATGCCCCCCCCCTGGCCGGGACAGCCGGACCAAGGGGTCTGGTGGGAGGGCTGGGGGACACCGCAAGCACCCGTTGGGGCGGAGGCAGAGGAGGCCCCGGAGGCCGAGAATTGAGACGAGGTTTGGGAGGCTGAAAAGTAGCCGGTGGATGCTTGCTCATGAGGACCGGCGCAGCCGATGTTCCCGCCTAAACCCCCGACACAAGCGGCGGTCAACCCCGCGCGCTGGGTAGGGGCCATACACACGGTCGAGGAGGAAGATGAGACGGAGGCGGTCAGGTCGGGGGGGTTCCCGCCCTCGTCTGCCTCCATCAGGGAGGAAGAGCGGGTGTCCGGGAAACTTGGTCCTTGGTGCACTGCCGGTCGGGAGGTGGGGGCATGCCTCCCGCCCAGGGATGCCGTCGCTGTGGCCGCCGCGGTGCCCTCTCGGGTGATGACTGACTGCCGCCGCCCGGCTTGCAAAGGGCCCCACCCGTTAACGGTCGAGGCCTCCGGCGAGGTATTTGGCATGCCAAAAGCCGCAGCCCCGTCGTGTCTTCTTCCAGAGGGTCCCACCTCCGCCTCCCCCACCTCGGCTGGCTCCTCCAACCCCAAGAGCTTCCTCCGCTCCATCCGGAAAGACTCTACCTCCCGCTGTATCATCTGCTTCAGCTGGCCCTTGTTCAGATGACCCGTCTCGAAATCAAAGTCCAGCTTGGGGGGAGGTCGTGCTGCCTGGACGGCGTCTGCGGCCAATTGCTGCTGCTGCAATTGGACCGAATGCCGCAAAGGTTCGAAGTACTTGTGACCCAAGGCCTGATCGACGGTCAACCGGTGGGCGGGTTCAAAGACGAGCAGGGAGTTCAAAAGGGAGAGGGCCTCGCGACTCGCCTCCGGGAAGAGGGTGGCAAAAGGCACTTTCTTCTTGGCCGCGACAGAGTCCAAGAACCGCTTGGCTTGACTGCTCTTCACGTGGGCGACTTCCTGGGGGCGGGGGGCCCCGATCACGTCGAAGATCAAGGTCAGCTGATGGACGAAATTTTTCCCAGGGAAGAGAGGCTTCCGTCCCAGCAACTCGGCGAAAATGCAGCCGACAGACCACATATCCACTGCGTAGTCGTAGAGGCCGTCGGGGCACAGCATCAGCTCCGGGGGCCGGTACCAGCGTGTGACGACGTGCTCCGTCATGGGCTCCTCAATGGACTCGTCCGGGTTCTGCCCTTTCCCGGCGGGGCGGGCACGGGCAAGGCCGAAATCCGTGATCCGAAGCTCGCAGGCCCGGGTGACCAACAGGTTCCCCGGCTTGAGGTCCCGATGGATGATCCGGTGGTCGTGGAGAAATTTGAGGCCTTTCAAGACCTGGTGCATGAAGAATCGAAAGTGGGCATCCGAAAGAGCCTGCTTGGATTGGATGATCCGGTGCAGGTCCGAGTCCAAGAGCTCCATGACGATGTAAAGCTCGTCGTCCGCGTCCCGGAGGGCGAGGTCCTTAAGCGTGATGATGTTCTCATGAGTACCCAGGTACCGCATCATACGAATCTCGCGCAGGACGTGTTTGGCATCGATGACGTGCGTAGAAATGGGCGAGACACGCTTGATGGCCACGTTTTCTTTCGTTTCCACATTCAGCGCCGAACATACAATGCCGTACGAGCCTTTGCCAACTGGCTTGAGGTCCTGGTAGGCCTTGTCGACTTTGAAAATCGTCCCGCACACGTTGTACGAAACCTCCCGACCTGCCGGCACGCTGCTGAAATGACTCTTGCCCGCGCCGTCCTCGGCACTCGTCATGCTATCTTCGTGAGAGTTACAGCCGCGCTCTTGGCGCTGACCTTCCATCCCGTTTGGGCGACCACCAGGCACCATTACTGCCCCCGGTCCTTTACTTGATATGCTATGATTCGACGGCACTGTCTGACTCTTGCTCCTTTGGTTACCTGCCAGTGCAGCGGCTGCGGTGGTGTGTGGAGGCGGAGCAGCGTGCTGATGTTTGCTGCCGCTCGAGTGGAAGGCAGAGCGACCAGTCATATTGCGTCGTCCCTCTCCGTCCCTGTGTCTTCTTCTCAGCCAGCCTTATACAAAGATGCCTTGCCTTCCAAGGCCTTCTGCTAGTCCTCCTGTGTATTTTCGCTGCGCGAGGTGCAAACCCAGAGCAGGAGAGAGATGGAATGAGTATGGCGAATAACCAGATTGAATGCTGGGAATATAAACTGACCTTCCAACTCCTTTCAGAGCTGATTACCGTCTCTGGCCATGATCAGAAGCTTTCCGTCTCCTTACGATCAAGGGTTCTCCCTTGGGATTTCTGCCGGATGTGAAAAAAGGGATGTAAGAGTGACGAAAGGAAGCGGAAGGGCCGTCAAGGAGAGTGTCTCAGAAGACGGAAAACTTCTGACGCTACCGGGCTTTCAAAAAGGCACAATACCTCGCAACCGGGTGAGAAAATTCAGATCTAAGAAATGTTCTTCTCGTTTGAGGCGCACATGCGCCATAAGTTCGGTTTTACTTCATGGTAAGTCTTGCGGAAAGCAGCGAATTGGTGGCAGGGCCCCTGACTCGCCGGCTTGGCTCGAAGCCGAGGTAGGGAGCCCCCCCGTCATGCACGATATAACCATCCTGCCCGCACTCCGGTCCTTCAGCAACGTCACAGGGACACGCATTCGTCGCGATTGCCGCCCGTTTTTCTCACAAGGTCCTTCGTCCGGAAGAAGGTTTTTATTCCCGTGTCTTTCCTTGACGTCCCCTTAGCGTGACCCTCCGTCGCGGGTATCGCTTGAGAAAAGTCGGCGACGCGACATGTCCCCCCTCCTTCTTCACGTGCTATGTCCACGCTGCCCTCCATCCCCAAACACAGGGTCCGAGAATTTGTCTCCTGACCGAGACTGACAAAAAGGTGCAAGCAGGAGTACGCTTAACGAGGTCACCCTTCGAAAAGACAGGATGCAGGATCAATTAGCCGCGGGGTTGCCAGCGTGACAGCGTATCAGTGCAGCACTTCTTCACCCACATCGGCGAGCTTCTTTACAAAGGCACCGCGAAAAAAAGCACTGCTGAGCGCGGTTTGCCATCATGGGTGCACCAGGTTTGCCTCAAAGGGGTGCAACGTACAGGGGCACCTGAAATCTCATCATTTCCCGTCCTTGACATTCTCTCTGTTCTTGTCCCATACCCGCCATACCAGACTTTGACCCGAAAATGATAATTTACCAGATCATCGCCCTCCAGGTAACATCCACCCTCCTTTTTCCTACAGTGTGCGTTGACGCGTCTCACGGCCTCGTGACTTCTTTCCTTCTTTCTTTTTCTTCCCGCCAGTGCCTCTACTATCTCGTCGAAGGAGGAATCCTCATGGGGTTTAATCTGGTCTTTGGCCTGGATGTATCGCTGGCCCAGATCTTTACGCCAAGAGGATTGGAGATCGAGTCGGCGGAAGGGCTGCTCAATGTCCTAGCGCTGTTATTGTCGTTTGTCGCAGGGTACGGAGGGAGGAATGAGAGGGCGGGGAAGAGGAGGCTAAGCTCTGTCCTTTTGGGGTACAATTCTCAATCTTTGAAGTCTGGCTTATTGTAGCTACTAAGAAGTGCTGTATGGAGATCATCAATTAAATGGGAGAGAAATAAAGAGGTTTACGGAAGGGCACCTGTGCAGAAAAGCTCCGAATAGAGGTCTCCCACATCGCCATGCATGTGCGACAAATTCCAAAATCGGTTCCCCCTTTCGACTCTGACAGGTCGGTTCTGCTTTGCGTGGTGGTGGAGCGGGCTAAGAAGTGCCTCGATTTTACCGTCACCCTATTTTTTTTCCATCTGCTGGCATGTGCCTTCTACGAGGTGAGAGCTTGTGACTATTATCATGTCTAGTATTGTGTCCATTCCACTTCACCTGCGTTTGTTAGTACGGTATAATTTGAAAGGCGGCATTCACGAACAAGCGTCATGGGGCTGTTTTTATAGGCTATAACATGAAGCGCTCACCAAGCCAGGTCCCATCCCAAAACTTGACGTGAACGTGGTATCCCCTTGTCCCATGCACTCATGCCCAACAGTCCTTTCCCGCAACCCTCTTGTGGTGGCTCTGCCACCTGGTAGGGGTCTCCATCATGACACTCCTCGGTAAGTAGCCCGCACGTTCCTCTTGCCGCAGGGTCTCGGGAACTTACTTGGGAGCCTGGCAACATCATGTATGACTGCCATTCCATTGGCATGTATGCGCACAATTGGTGGGTTGTGCATTCTTAAAAGGATGACGGATGAGTCCTCTTCCCCCTTCTTGTCTCATGACGCTAGGCGAGCACCTCTGCGCTAGGAGTGAACTTCGTGACATACCTCTCTTCGTCGTGAGCCAAAGCGGGCCTTAACGAACAGAATGCAACGGCGTAAAGAAATCGATAGTAAACTTCAAGGGTTCTTGCAAGATTGAGATGGAGAAGCCAGAAGTATGCGACGAATTTTGGGTCGTCATTGTTTGGCCATTACTTTGACATATTTGCGTTCGGTCAAATTGTTTGATGCGAAGCTTTTGGAGAGACATCCCTCTGTCTAAGAAGGGAAAATGTGCGTCCCTCTTCTCCACCATATGCACACAACCTCCGGCAACTAGAAGAAAAATCTGTCGTCACAAAACCACATTTAGGTCCGGCTGGAAAGGGGGGAGGTTATATGGGCCGCCATGGGCGGCGTTGCTCCGGTCCCGGTCCACAAGCTCGAGGACAACGACCACCAGTCCCCTCCTTAGGCTTTTGCCCGTTTGTTGTCTCTGGAGCCTTCTTAAATGGTAGACCCTCGACCTTATGCCCCAATTACATGCCTGGTGGTAGTGATGCTTGGTATGGGTGGTGAAGTTGATCAGGAAGGTTCGATGATGAAGCGAGTGCTCCGTCGTTTTGAGTTCCCGCTCGCTTTCCCACCGGAGCGCAGAAAAAGAAAACTCGCGCGCCTCGCATCTATTACCCTGTGACGTGCCCATCTTTTGTGTAATTTTGAACCTTCGGCAACGGCTCGTGTCGAAAAGAAATGTTTAGGAGAGTATTGTTTTTGTATGTCTTCAAGGAGGTAGGGGTCAGAGGGATCGTTGTCCTTCTCATATTGCTTGGTTTGCTCCTGTCCGAAGCGGAAAACGACCTTATTTGCTGCGCGATTGATCTGTGTCTTAGATGTGTAGTGCGAATTATCAATCTTCACGAGATTTTGGAAAAGCTCGAAGGGAGGGGAAGGACGACGAAATTTATGACACAATTTTCGGTTTCATTTGACGACCTGATCCAACCTCTGCATGTGCGACCTGCCGCCTCAGGTAACTTATCTACAATTTCTTCACAAACATGCAGCCCTTTCAACAGCGAGCCACGCCTTGGCCGAGAAAGGCAGTGATATCAGTCTCATACTTGTGATCGGGTGGAACAAGGCATTTTGGCCATGGCCTCCTTGGAAGCCATCATGCCCACCACGGCCAAAACTCCGTTCGGAGCAGACAAGGAGGAACTAGCCAAATACCGTGCGGGACAAGCGCTCAACCACAAAGCCGTGGCCCCAATTCTGAAGGATATTCAAGGCCGACGTACGGGGTTGGTGATCGACAACCGCATCAGCAAAGATTCGGAGGGCTTCGAGGACATTGACGCCTTCTGGGAGATGGCCTCGCAGGGGGATGAGAGTTCCTTGCGTGGCGCCCGGCGGTCGGACAGGCGGGCGACAAACCTGAGTGTGGGTAGGTACTCGCGTGACAGCCAGGGGCTGGCATTGGGCTTGGATTCCCTCCCAGGTGAGGATGGGGGACGCCGCAGTAGTGCCAGCAGCCTCGGGGCCCCCCTATCGGAGGATGTGGTGTCTGCCAAGAAGAACCTTCGGTCTTCCTCCTTGCCCGCGGAGGCCGTCGCGGCGGCTCGCTCCCGACGGCGCAGCAGCATGCTGTCGTACGAATCCTCTTCCCCCATGGCGGGATCCACGCCCCTCTCCGATGGCCCTGGCTTGACTGTCTCTCCCGAGGGCATGGCGGAAGATGACCACACGCCGGCGGGTCTGAGCGCTGCTACCCGTCTTTCCAAAATCAAGGCACCTTCGCGTCGCCTGGATTTCCTCCTGAGCCAGAAGGAGAGTTTGGGAGGAGGCGCTGTGGTCTTGGGGCAGAGGGAAG